TGGAGAGATCGACCGTAGCCTGTTGGCTGATCTCTCCTACTGCAACTGTAGTCCTGGCCCTCTGACGATGGTGGTTAAGGAGTTGCCCACTGTGAGAAGGCTACGTGAGGCCAACTCAGGAAGAGGAGAGAACTCCCTACCACGCGTGGAGGGAGGAGAAAGGGAGAGTAAGGAAGATCATCAATAGCTGCCTAGGCAAAGCAGAGCAGGTGTTTTACCATGTCTCTCATGTAGTCCCTTGTTCTGGAAGAGATAACGTCACTGTAGTGGAAGGGATCCCACCACCTTCCAGCCAGCCAAGGAGGGCCTCCAAACGACCAACCCCTAAGGAGAGAAAGGGTCCTGCAACTGTAGACTGAAGTTGATACCCTGGGCATGAGAGGAGGGAAGAGCCAGACTCCTCTGGGCCGAAGCCAAAGGCAGGAGTGGGTGGGAAAGTGCTGATGGTTTTATAATGAAACTCATAGTGTTGAGTTTTCAATCACCAGAGGTGTAGCGGAGACAATCTTAAAGTTAGAAACTTTTTTTTTTTTTGTTTGACTCATTTAAATTTTTGTTTGTGGGACAAAAAGGCATATGGAACGCTAGCTATGACGCCTAAAAAACTGCTCCCCCCTGGACCAGGCCGAACGACAGAGCTAAAAGAACCCTCAGGGGTAGAAAAAACTACTCCCGCCCGTAATCCTTCCTGTAAACTGCTCCACCCAATAACCTCCACTGCCAAGCGACAAAAGAAAGCTAACTACCTGACAGTGAACCAAGAATCTACCAAAACCCCAAGAACGAAACACCTAAAGGCAGAAACCCAAACCAAACCTCTAAGGGCCAACGATCACAACTCAAATCCAATATAGAAACCCCTGGGGCATATGACAAGGGCCAGGAGGAGGGAGCTAAAGTCCAGGACGCGAAGGGTATAAGGGAAACCACCCCGAAGGCGGCAACCGAGAAGTGAGGAGAGGAGGTGTGTAGCAAGCATGCCAGCAACCATGTGGCCTCTAGGACAATCGACGATTGTATCAGTAAGGTGCCAGCTTGAGAGGAGGTGGTAGTAGGGTGCCTGCCAATCCGACCATAGAGAAGAGGAGAGGAGGGGTAGACCCAAATCCGTGAACAACAACTATCGGTAATCGCGTTCATGTCCCACTAGGCAGCCTCTTATGGGAGCAAGAGAATGGAGAGATCAACTGTAGCCTATAAGCTGTTCTTTCCTACCCGCAACTGTAGTCCCGGCCATCTGTTGAAGGTGGAAAAGGGGGTTGCCGACCGTGCCAACGCCTAAGCAAGGCGGAGTAGGAAGAGGAGAAACATTGCGAAGACGAAAGACCTCAACTAAGGATAGAAGCAAGAGAGCCAATAAATAAATAAAGGCCTCAAGGGAGAGGGGAAGAGAGTCCACCTCCTGTAGCCGAGGCTAGATGGGGGGAGATGGGGGGGAGAGTGGTGGTGCTAGACGATGAAACCCATGATAGCAACCATGGTGTTGAGTTTTCAATCACCAGAGGTGTAGCGGAGACAGAGGATAATCTTAAAGCTAGAAATTTTGTTTTTTTTGTTTGACTCATTGATTATTTGTTGAGGGTACAAAAGACGTATGGAGCACTAGCTATGACGACAAAAAACCCATATTCCTCCTCTCGCCACAGGAAAAAGCCAACCCCCCAAGCCCCTCTGGTATGGAGCCAACCGCACATCTTGCCTCAAAGAAAAGAAACCCAAGCCCAGCTAGATGCATGAACAAGGAAATCCTAACTAAGAAGAATGCAGGAAGGGCCAGGAAAACCCGCTGAGAAATCCCAAAAAAACAAAAGAAAAATTAGTAGCAAGCCACATAGGCCCCGAAGCGCGAGTCTACTCATTTAAGTGGGAAGCGACGCACAAAGCGCGCTAAGATAGGGGGCCCCCCACAGACCCACTCCAAGAAGACAGTGCAATACCATGGAGGGAAGGAGGAGACCAGCCGGCCGTGGGTGATAACCAGGGGGAGGGGAAGGTGTAGCAGTAGGGTGCCATCCAATCTGACTGTAGGGAGAGGAGACCGGTGGGGTAGACCCAAAGACCTTGAACATCGTCTAGCGGTGATCGCGTTCGTGTCTGACTAGGCAGCCTCTTAGGGAAACAAGAGAATAGGGAGATTGACTGTAGCCTGTTGGCTGTTCTCCCCTAGTGCAACTGTAGTCCTGGCCGTCTGACAATGGTGGTTAAGGGGTTGCCGACCATGAGAAGGCTAAGCGAGGCCAACTCACGAGGAGGAGAAGACTCCCCGCCACGCGTGAGGGGAGGAAGAAGGAGGAGAAAGGAAGATCGTCAACGGCCGCCTAGGCAAAGCATACCAGGTGTTTTACTGTGTCTCTCATGTAGTCCCTTGTTCTGGGAGAGATAGCGTCACTGTAGTGGAAGGGATCCCACCACCTGCCAGCCAGCCAAGAAGGGCCTCCAAACGACCGATCCCCCAGGAGAGAGAGGGCCCTGCAACAGTAGACCAAAGTCGATACCCCGGGCATGAGAGGAGAGAAGAGCCAGACTCCCCCAGGCCGAGGCCAAAGGCAGGAGTGGGCAGGAGGGTGGAGAAAGTTTCGCGATGAAACAAAAAACTCACGATAGAAACCGTGGTGTTGAGTTTTCAATCACCGGAGGTGTAGTAGAGACGGAGGATGATCTTAAAGCTAGAAAGGCACCTTAATATTTAGATTCCATCTCTGGGTGGTTGCAGGCTCCATCCAATCCTTTACTGACTATATACCTGCTATGCTAATGATTTAGTGTCTTTGGAGTACAATCTCCATTTAGCTCTAAAAACTAGCTTCTATACTCTCTTTCTCAAGGCAGTAATCACCTTAGTATAAGAACTTATCAATAACTCCTCTACATGTATACCTTAGAGTACATGATGAATATAACAAACTTGTCCAGTGAGTTGTTATTAACCAATCATGAACCAGTCTCCCAATAACTCTGATTCCTACGAGCATTAAGGCAGTTATGCATTACATCTCATTTCTATAAGAGCAATAGCACATACACCTGTAGTGATCATAGCTTTATAACTAATCAACCAATCTGAACCAACTAAGTCTTATCTAACAGAGCGGAGCTCCTTCTATGTTATTTTATATTAACCCTTTGCTTGCATGCCTTATATCTCCTTGGAGTGGGCTGCATAGATCTCTTATTGCTCTATACACTAATATGATATCATCATAATAACTATAGCGGGGTCCAGAGTCAAACACATGAGCTTCTACATTCGGTTATATGCTGCCCTGATTATGCTTCTATGTGTAACAACACTATGGTGTTCTCCCTCAGGCGCTCAGAGCTTTTCTCTCTATACTCTAGATTGTAGAGTCAATACAACTACAAACTTGAATGATCTTTATTTTGATACTTTTGCAATATATATGATATGTAACTTAGGTCCCAAGGTCTAGTCCTGGTATTACATTTTGAAAATTTAGCAGTACTAGCATCCTGAGAATGGTTGCTGCCAGTGCATCAGATTACGTCTAGAGAATTTGCAGAGTACTCTGTTGTGTCCCAAGTTCTGGCACCAAGAACCAATACATTCCGAGTCATGGTTTGCATCCTGTTTGTACTGTATGCCTGGCACATTGGACACACTGGACACAACCATTTATTTTTGCCAATGTTAGCTATCTAAAGTCACAAACTATGCAGTGCTAACCATGATCATGCTAAGTGAGCCTAGAAAAAGCAGAGGGCATAAAAAATGGGGCATCATAAGATAGCTTCCTGGAGAGCAAAGAAATGTCCTGCAGGATGAACCTCCACTGCAGGAGCCTGAGGACTCCTCAAAGGAAGAAGATGCAAGCAAGGCCCAGGGGGAAGGCAAGTTAGGAGGGATGGACAACACCCCCCCCTAGCTTGAGGGGTGCAAGCCAGAAAAAGGTGGCAATAGTTCTCTGGTGTTGAGTTGTTCCCAAATAGGAAATATTTTTTTAATGACCAGAGTTATAATAGAGACCGAGGATGCTATAGCTTGATTACTGCCTGTAAACTTGTTGTACTATAAACAAAACAAAAATCTAGGGTAAATCCAAAATTCAAAAATTCAAAAATTCTTCCTACTAGATGTGTATGAAAAATAGGCACCGGAAAGACAGTCATTAGAGAGAGTCAGAACCCGAATCAAGTTAGAACCCCAGTTAAACAGCCGAGAGCCTCCAGTGCGCAGAAGTGACAATGTTCAATCACGATTTACAGAAGACTATGGGGAGGAGCAATGTAGACTATGGTGGAGATGTAGGCGGAGCGTGACTACCATTAGAAGGAGTAGAGAGGGTTTCATCAATTTATTGCTTCCTGATTATTTATTGAATTTACCAAAGGGAACCTTCCGCCACCGTCACTTGATGCCCACCCCATCTTATAGTCTATCACCAATCCAGTATCTGGATGAGTGCTTATCATACTAGAGGACGATTGAAGGCTAAAACTTTCCGCCATCTCAGCCGCGAAGCGAGTGATGGAGAAAAAAAAAGGGCGACTCTCCGTATTCCGCCCCTCTGGTCGGACCGGTCTCGGGTTGCTGACTTCTATAGGTATTCTGGAAGGATCAAACTTACGACTTACTATATCGGCCTAAGATATTTGGGATAACTACCGTTCGCGCTCGGGGTTGTCACCCATAATCCCGTATTGTGGTCCCGAGATCGAGATGTTCTTTGCACTGGTAGACCGTGGCAGTGATGCTTCACCATCTGGTAGGTTAGGGAGGAACTCATAAGGCGAGCTCCCGTACCATGCGGGGAAGATCGAGTGATTCGCTCGAAGCCCAATTTTAACATTCCATGACCTAGTGCAGATTTTCTACGACACCAACATATACCATGAAGCATTTCAACAGGTACAACTCCAGCAGAGCAATTGAATGAAGGAGGAAAGAAAAGAAAAAAAGACTCAGGCCTCGTGGCTGATACGCTCCACCGCCACCCCCAAATTCATACCACGTAGAATCTGGAAGGAAAAAACGCAACACTCTACTTCTTCCTCTTAACTCTCCACCCATCTTCAGAAAAACAACAAATCCCCTTCGAAATACACCAATTCTTCACATCTTTCACGGTTACCATATGTTTACCATACCCACCCTCCACGATTCCTCGAGCATTCAGCCACTCCGCCAACTCCTCCACGCTGATAGGGTCGTACATCAGGATCGCGTGTGAGAACTTGGATCCTTCGCTTCCGGGCTTGATATCAAGGATTATGCGTGATATCATTTTGCGGAACCGCTTGGGGGAGCAGGAGCGGGAGCGGGAACGGGAAGGAGATAGACTCTCTGATAATAACCTGGGCGCTGTGGGGGAGGCGGAATTTTGCTTCCGGTTGTCTTTTTTGGCTTTTCGTTTAGGCGGCGGGAATGGGTTACTTTGGGCAAATTTGGACGGGCTCTGAGACTTTTGTGGATATTGCATGTCTGTTCCAGGGGCATTGCTTATGGCAGGTTGATTCGCCGCGGGTTGGTTGGTAGTAGATTGATTCCTGGGAGTTGGTGATCGCCCTCGGGCTGTGGGACCCAAACATCCATTGTCGGAGGGAAGCCGCCTAATGGTTGGCCCGTTTTCCCGGGATGTGGGGACCCCTGGGATGGTAGTCGTGGAGTATCCCCGGCAAGGAAGGCCGCTTGCCCCGCCAGATTGAGTAGGGTGGGCAAGGCTTGGGCTGGCAGACCTCGTTCGTTGGGTAAATATGATTGCGGTAGCAGCTTCCGTGCCCCGATTGACCTCCTGTTCGGTATTCCGCTTGTTTTTCGCTCGCCAACACTGCTCAAGCATAGATACCATTCGATGCCTGGTTTTGAGGTCCTTGAAACCGTATTTTGCTACCTCAGCCTTCAATTTTGTTGTTATCCATGCATTGAAGTCTGGCATGGATGGCTCGAGGTGCACCCGGGGATTGGGGTTGGAGACCGTGGCGGAGGAGTGGGCAGGAACGACTGCGATGCTGGCGGGAGCGCTGACACCCGAAGTTGTAACACTGCTTGGGATCATTGATGACGCGCGATCCCACGTTTTTGCCAAGTCACCAAATGGTGATTCCTTTGCCTCACCCGTATCTGTGATGGCAAATCGCGCTACTTTGAGAGGGGCGGGCATACCTTCTATCCGTAAGTGTGGTATGAACTCCTCCCCAACGCGATTTTCATGGGGTGCGTTTGAAGGCCGGCCCTCCTTTGGTAAACTCGGCAAGTCCTCGTCCCGAACGACTACAGTTGGTGGCGGTCTCATTGGCTGCCCCTCCATCCGAAGGTTTAGCGCTGGTCCGTCAACTGCCCCCGCATGTTTCGGAAGGGCTGGACCCTCCGATAAGCCTGGACTCCTGGGGGACAATATATCTTCCATAGGTTTCGGGCCCCCAGGTAACAACGGGATATCATTGTCGAGGGACATATCAACAACTTCCACCGAGAGTAAGCCACCATCCAAATCCCTGGCCGCGGCATCCCATAGCTTGCTGGCAGTTCCTTTCCCTAACCGACTCTCAGGGAGGTTTTGCTGCTCTGCAGGAAAGTGTTCGGAATGGACCTCGAAGTCTTCAACCATCGACACACCGAATAGATCGATATTTGTCCCACGTCTTGTGCCGGCCAGTTTATTTCCCCCCTTCCTGTCCTTCGTTAGGGTCCTCAGGAAACTTCTCCTGGCAATTGAGGTCGAAGGGGGCACATAGTCAGGAGCATTTTCATCCTCGGCGGGCTCTGGGTTGTCAACAATCTCGATTTCAGCCTTGACTTCCAATTGGGAACTGCTGCCGAAAATACACTCTGTCTCATCGAATTGACGCTTAGCAGCCTTTGGGCTAAGTAGTACAGGCGCTGGGACGGAATCCCCTTTTTTCTCTGAAGCTGGCTTTCGCTTGCGGGTTGGTTTCCCCGCCGTAGCGGTTTCGGCGGTTGCGCCCTCAAGCGTAAAATAATCGAGCAAAGAGTGGCTTGCCGCTTGCTTTGCCTCTCGGCATTGCGCTGTTGCTTGGCCTGTGATTGTCTTCGGCTTTTTCCTTGGTTGTTTAGGTTTGGACGCTTTGGGTTCGTTACTAGGAATAGTCGAGTTGCTGGGAAGATTGACCATCTGTCGGATGATATTTCGTTAGCATGCATACGCAGTATTGACATCACGATCCGATAAACTGACCTCTATTGCTCGCTTCTTAGTCAGCCCATTCCCGAGCTTGTCCAGCCCTCCAAGCGAAGGCACAGCACTCCCATCGCGACTATAGCTTCTCGAAAGCTTCATTTCACCAACCATGTTTGCAAAGTCGAGCGTTCCTCTGTCGTCCTCGCCCTTTTCTTCACTTGCCTCTATGTTATCTGGAGGGGAACTGTCGATACTAATAGCCCCCTTCACGGGGGTCCATTGGCTGAGGATGGTTGGAATAGGCGGCTCCGTAATGGGGTTGCTTGTGGATCTGGGAAACGAGGCGGCTTTCTCGTAGGCTACAGGTTTGCTGGGAATTTGCGCTGTATCTAGCGGTCCAAAAAATGGTGATTTTGTTGGCATAGACCTCTTGGTAGATTTGGCTACGATCTGTCCATCTTTCGTCACGCCCTTCTTTCTCGTATTTCTAGTTTTCGCCCTGTTGGCATCTTTTGCCTCAGCCTCACCCAAGGCCTTGCTCTTCGGCAGAAAATGGCCAAGTGTTGGCGTTGTGAAATCCTTCTTCGCTCGAGATATTTTGGTAATAGGGTCCCCGGTTGGTTTTGTTGCTCTCTTTCTTTGGGGTGACAGTTTGGCTATTAAACCATCTTGGTCGTCGCTGCTGCTAGGGACGTTCCAGACATTTTCACTCGAGATAACCCGGCGTGGTGGTGGGGCTCTCGCACCCCTCTGTTTGTGTATAGCAGCAGTGCCTTTCTCGACAAGCTCCTGCAAAAGAGCTGAAGGCGAGAGTAGTGGAGACGAGGGCGGGGAGGATATCGTTTTACCCGTACTGGTAGTTGTAATTCGCAATTGGGGGGCAGGCGGTGAAGATAAGAGGATTATGGGGTCCATCCTTGTATTCAATGGTGCGATGGTGAGGATGGAAAGTGGGCGGCGGGCATACTGGAGGAGTGCTCGGGTAGTGGCATGGGACGCCAAAGCGAATTTTGGGGCGGTAGGGAAGGGCGATGGCAGCAGGGGGCTCCCGACCAAGGTAGGGCATCACGGCAGCGGGTGGTTAGCAAGGGCAAGAAAAGCTGGACTGAGTGATGCCTGGGCGTCACGGTAACCCGGCCAACCCCGGCCGGTCGAATGCAACCAGTCGGCTCTTCTCCCTAATCCACAAAATATAGACAACCATGCGGGCAGGATCTGTGGTACCCTTACTACGCGTACAGAAGCGTACGTCCCGAGGTTTTCCATATGAGCACAAAATTAGCATCTCCAATTCGATACCGGAATAAACCGCAGCAAATCCAGTCCTCCAAACTCTGATAGTATGACGGCCATCGGCAGGGAGATTAACATCATGAATCCTTCAACCCCTTGAAGGGCATAGAGCGGCCCCAATCCGTAGTTATGCAATCCCGTTCGAATTGGCTATCGTGGCGCCGATATCGACCAATCGGAACACTAACTTTCGGTTTTTGCCGGCAATTCCTGTAGCCTAGCATTCGGATCTTTGGACTGAACTCTCTATTGGAAACTATTCTATGATTTTTCTCATCCCGAATTGCTGGATGGGTGCGTGTTTGGAAATTTGGGGTGCTGGTATTGTATTGGGAGCCAGAGTAGGAGGTCGCCAGGGTTGGTAGCCTAAGTCTGCTGTCCCGGCACTGTACTAATTAGAGTACGAGGGTAGAGTGGCCGTGCCTGGACTTTAGGGGTACGGGTGCGGGTGCGGGTGCATGTGAGTGGTGCCCGGCCATTCCTCCCGCCAGTTAGTCTACCGTACTCTATTGAGACATGAGGCAAAGGTGATTGAGATCTAAGCCGTTAAGCTGCATGGTTCACCAATCATCTGTCATATCCCGCTACTCGTAGGAACAAGAGTAAATGAAAGGCATGATAATTCTGCCAGAGCATTTCTTCCAAGTACTGTACCGGTACTCTTAAGTGCATCCCGCATGTATGATACCGGGAGCGCAAGTCATGGATGATAGTGCGAGAACTAGCGGAGTACCGCCCTGTACACATGAGCGCTATTTGACCTTTTCCACGCTTCATACTGCTTTCCAAAGTAACTGCACCTTCGTGGCCTGACGCACAGCACTGTCCGGTAATCTGCTTCCGCAAAAAATGTCCAACTCGGACGCTGCGCCATTCGTCCTCCCGTACTACAAGTAGAAAATAGATAGCCCGGCTTCATTCTTCCCTTTTTCACCTCTACCCGCCTCCCCTCCCTTCCCCTCCCTTCCCTTCCCCTCCCCTCCCCTCCCTTCCCTTCCCCTCCCCTCCCCTCCCTTCCCTTCCCTTCCCTTCCCTTCCCTTCCCTTCCCTTCCCTTCCCTTCCCTTCCCTTCCCTTTACTCGATTTCCATACCAGTAGTCTTCCATTCAACCCCCCCACCTGCCCTCGCTGTTTCCTGAACCCAGCATCCACGCCGTTAGCCCTAGAGAACCATTCACCGCCTTGTTCGGAGTTCGGACACTAGCAGGAGTTTGCATTACCAATCAGCCTGGTTGCTCTGTTCCCACTACTCGAGTATTAAGGCGGAGTCAACGCCATACCCAGTACTAGTACTCTGGTATACTACTCGTAACTTGCTTATTGGATAGTCTACTGCTCAAGCACCCCATCTTGAGTTCTCGGCTATGACGCAACCAAAACTATCCCCTACGGTCATTCGACAACTCATCATACTCTGTTCGTCTAATAATGTCGTGATCAAATGGAAGAGTAAGCTTGGCTAACTTCCGATAGCAACGTGTCGGCTCGCGGAACCTGTTTCCCTGACCTCTGTCTCTCCTTACTTGGTGAGTCTTTTCGAGTCTATTATTTTGAGAATGGGTCGAGCGGGAGATGCTAATTCATGTTCGGACCAGTATTACATGGTTAAATCCTTTGGGATCCCCAACAAGGATGTACCGTTTTATGTCGGAATAACTTTTGCCTGTTTCTCTCTTGCCCAGTTCGTAACGGGGGTATTTTGGGGACGGGTTAGTGACAGGTTTGGCAGGAAGCCGACAATGCTGCTGGGACTGGCTGGATCGCTCTTGTTTATCTTGGTTTTTGGGTTCTCTACCACTCTTCCAATGGCTATACTTGCCAGGTGCTTTTCAGGGCTTGTGAATGGGAATGTGTGATTCGCCACCCTGGCCCGCATAATTGCATATATGGAATCTGACAACGTGTGCAGGTTGGAATATTGAGGACTATGGTGGCAGAGATGGTTCCGCAAAGGGAGGTGGGTCATTAAATTCAACCTGGAACCGGTACCTAAATCATTCTGACTTTGTAGCTTCAACCTCGTGCCTTTTCAATCATGCCGATGATTGTAAGTTTGTCCTCCAAACCTACTTGGGCCTTACTAACAGAATGCAGTGGACCATGGGATCAATTATCGGACCCTCTATTGGGGGTTTTCTTGCTGATCCGGTAACTAACCACCCAAATTGGTTTAAGGGAGAACCGCCGGCTTTGCTTAAGAAATTTCCGTTCTGTCTGCCAAACTTAGTCAACGCTGCAATTTTTGTTTGTGGTTTGTTTACCGGAACTCTCTTCCTCAAAGTATACCCCACGATTCCGTCATTTTTGATGTTGGAGCCTAATCCCTCTGGTATAGGAAACCCTTGAAACGAAGAGGAACGCACCTGATCGTGGCCGCCAAATCGGGGAGAGGTTAGTAGGGTTCTTCTGCTTGAAGTCACGGCGCCATGGAGACGTGCCGGACGAGACCACTTCTCTCTTTGCCGATTCCTCCTCTTCGAGGATTGATGAGGAAGTGAATTTTCCACCGGAGGTCATTAAGGATTCTGGGCCACCGCCACTAATGCAGGCATTTACCTTTCAGTCGACAGTTAATATTGTTATGTATTGCTTACTGAGTCTGCACGCCGTTACCTTTGACCAGCTACTTCCCGTATTGATGTCGTACCCGCGGGATGGTACCCCTAGGCAAGGCTTCAGGTTCGCTGGAGGGTTTGGCATGCCAAGTTCTACCATCGGCTTATACTATAGCATTTACGGTGTTGTCGGTATTGTTCTACAAGTAAGAACATCACCCCTCCCTCTTCAGTAGCCATCCTAGGAGCTGGCAAAGTTGACTCGTCTAGTTCCTTATCTTCCCCTCTGTAGTCGGCGCTCTTGGCCCCGTGCGAACCCTCAAGTGCTTTAATCTAGTCTTCATGGTACTCTACATCCTCGTACCATTTACCCTCCTCCTCCCACGTGCCCAACAACATTCAGCGCTCTTCCTCTGCATTTTTGTGAAGGGTGTATCAGCCATTTTCTCCTTTCCTTGCAGCACTATACTGCTTACAAACTCTAGCCCTAGTTTGAGGATTTTGGGCACCCTCAACGGAATTGCTGTTGCATTGGCTGCGCTTTCGAAGGGCATGGGGCCTGCTGTGAGTGATCCCTTTGCCCGGAAATTTGAAGAGTATGGCTGACGCTACTGACAACAGCTCGGAGGTCTGGTGTTCACTCTTGGCCAGAAAACACGGTACGGGATCCTCCCCTGGTGCCTTTTGTCGGGAATAACCGCCCTCGGTATCCTGCCGTTGGCTTTTCTAGCTGAAGGCGAGGGTTCCCCGGATAAGCTCGTGCGAGAAGCTGAAGACGATGAGGTTGGCCCTCTCGTTAAATGACTTGGCTCGTGAGTAAATATTCAAGCGGACATCAACACCTCTATTACAGTAAATTTTATTCGCCTCCTATATCTGGTTAACGCTGCTCATTTTAATCAATACGTGATGCAGAATGTACTTATCAAACTGAATATAACCGAAATTCTCTGCTAAGAAGCTCTGCGTTCTATCAGACCGCAGACCAATTCACCTGGCTCACATTTATCAAGGTTGTGAAAAGCTATCGTGTCTGGGGATCAAGGATTAACATACCTCCACCTGTGCCCCCCTAGAATGCTCACATGAACACTTGGAATTTCAACAAATAAGTGCAGAATCGTACTCATCGGCTCGAAATTAATGCACACCTGGTTTACCCACAGCGCCCTATCGTCGCTATACGGTATGAGCAGATATTGATGGTGCGACCAACGGGGTGTGGCGTTGGTGCTTCTTGGTGATATGAATCTGGGTAATTACTCTGGTGCATCTCAATATCCCTGGTCCTCTGCGCTATATACATTCTGATCACAGGGAGTATTTTTCCTTCTAAGGACTATGTTGTCCTTAGGTCATATCTGTAGGATTGGTTCTCCTTTCGTTAACCGTGCTATGCCCCGGAGGTCATCTTTCTTGTGGGCTGGAGTTCTCGGCCATTGTCTCTCTGTCCTCTTTGCCGTCCACAGTCGCCCCGGGGGCCATAATTCTTGAACGGGCCATCCTGAGCTAAGTGAAATAGATTTGACTATCTTGCAGTAGGGACTGGAACGGATCTCAACGGTATAGACATGGTACATGGGAGTGTACCATACCAAATATCCTGTATCGTGACTGGACAGGATGTGACGGGGGGCGGGGTGGATTGTGGGGGTGACGGCCCCGGATCAGGCAAAAGGGGGTTTCTGTTGACATTTCTGATTCATTTTATATGTATATTTCATTGATCAATAGTGTATGTTCTCTCACACCCGGTTAGTGTTTTGGTTACCTATACACGATATTAATTGCTATCATACAGCTAGGATATTTTTTACTAGTATGTTATTATATTAATATTTCATATTAACTATTAGGGATTGTGTATAGGTTTCTTGATTTGAGTATGGGATGTTTCTCTGTCTTGATTATTTCATACTAGCATACACTTTTTACCTATGATTATTGCTTCAAGCTTATAGTAATTTTCCTCATACTTACTTACTATAGTTATTTTACTATAGTTATTTAGGGTATATCTCGTTGCCATGTAGCTTTCAAAATACCAAAATTATGAAATGTTAGGATGTGTCTGGTTGCTTGTAGGTTTTCAAAATGCTAGAAATGCAAAATACAAGTTGACACCTCCAATAGCAGTTATCACAAGTTAGTATAATCTGAAAAAATCAGAGCAAGGCAGTGTGTCTGGTTGACATAGAGAGTAAAGCCAAGAAACATACTTTGTCTATAGAGATCATGATGGGTATGATAGTATAAAAACAAACCTAAGAATAGTTACTCTAAAAAAATCAAAAAAAGAAGTATTGTGTCACAGGGTGTGACTAAGCAAGGCAGATTTCACATAGCCCGGAATTCCGAGCTAGGTATGTTGGGATTTCACATGATGGACACTAGTGCACTATAGGTTATTATATTTACCTGTTTGAGACTCACAGTTGTGAGTCACACGATGTTATGATTTTCACACGTAACTCAATTTATAAGTCATGGGTTTCACTCAAGTAACGTGAGTTGCGCACCTGACCTGGTTATTATGTTTTGATTGGTTTTAGGTATGTTGTGTAGCGACTCATAGGGCTTGGCTAAGGGATTTCGCGTGACTCATAGTTATGAGTCACAGGGTTCGTGTGACATGAGGCATGAGTCACGCCAGGTGAAGAACTACTATATAAGGGATCACTAGGACCCCGAGTATTAGTTCTTCACACGTTCTTCTTGTTTATTTCCTACCTTTAAAGTTATTACAATAAAACCTACCTTTACGCTCTTTAAGATTTATCTTAAGAAGCCCGAGAATTGTCTTTCCTCCCAAGTGAGAATACTATTTCTCCTGCCATGACGAACTATTAAGTCCCAGAGGAGGACTTAAGAAGATTAGAGGAAGAGGCGCAATAAGATAGAAGTCAAAGGACTTGACTATCAGCATCGCATAGGCACTGGCTTAAGAACTATTACCTCACTACGAATTAAGAATCGTTACCTGTCACATCCCAGTGACCAGTAGAATTCTTAACATTAGAAAGTATCTACAACACGACACTTAACGATTTCACTACGGATCCTTTTAACCAAGATTAAGAAGGAGACATAGACCTACAAGACGACAGTTTAGGTTTAGGGAAATTAGAAGAAGCACTTAGCGAAGCAAGCAGACACTCCGCAAGATGCACCAGTCCAGTCACACCCGAACAAGTTACTCCCCCAAATGAAGAAGAACAACCTGAAACACCAAAACCTGAAAGAATGTTAGGACCGCCACCACCACTAGGCCCACCCTCAGCAGGACCAGCGCCTCCTCTGATGATTCCACGAGATGAAGTAGAACGAATAGTACAAGAAGCTATAAGAGGAAAAGTGCGACAACCCAAAGTCAAGACCCTACCACGATATGATGGGGAAAGGAACAAGCTACGAGGATTCATGGTACAACTATTGACCTACTTTGACGCAGTAGGATGGAGATGAGGAAACGACCAGGACAAAATACGTTATACCCTCACTCTACTCGAAGAAACAGCCCTAAAATAGATAACCCCCATCGTGGTCAGCAATAATACACTATGGAAGGACTGGGCCAGCTTCAAGGCAGTATTTGAAGCCTAATTAATGGATATTGAATTAAGCCAATCAGCGAGAAACAAATTGGAAGAAATTCGCCAAGGAACAAAGAATGTCACTGATTACTGGTATGAGTTCCAACTACTTCAGTATGATGCAGAATGCGACGAAGCTTCTGCTATGAGATGGTTCATGAAAGGGTTGAGAAGAACCTATCAAGAAGCATGGAGGTACAGCGAGGAGGAATTTACTTCAACCGAAGAAATGGTCCACTGAGCCATTCGTAAAGAAATCCAGTTCGGACAACTAGACTGGATCCAAAGAAACCAGTCTAATAGGACACCAAGCAATATTACAGATACCAGAAACCAAAACACACCTAGGAACCAGAATGGAACCTGGAGAACCACCACACAAGGAGGAGATACTATAGACCTAGACGGCACTCGAACGAGACTGTCCCTCAGCCTTGTAAAATACGAGTACCTTTGACGACAAAACAACAATCTATGCCTAAGATGTGGAATAGGAGGACACATGATCTGGGATTGCAAACAACCTGCCAACCCAGCTCCAAACCAAGGAAGGAACCAACAAAATCCAAAGACCAATCCTCAGATTCCAACCACGCAGCAACTTGAGAGAAACCGAAATTGAAGACGAATATGAGACGGTGGCAAAAGACAAAGGTCCCCAGCAATAGATGGTCTGCGGAACCCTCCGAAAGATAAACCCATCTCAACGGCCAAGTATTACACTCTTTTAAGCCACCAAACGAATAACAATAACAATGATCATATCATGATTAGGACCACCATTCATGACAACAAAGAAAAAGCAATAACGATATATGCGATGCTCGATTCAGGAGCAATGGAAGATTTCATTGACGAAGGAATATGCAAAACATATTAGCTAAGGACCAAAAAAGCAAAAAAGTGAAAGACAGATTTACCTCGCAGACGGAAAACCCAGCGCAATGGGACCTATAACCCATACCACACAAAGTACCTATGGAAATCGGAAACCATAGGAAAGTGACTACCTTCCAAGTAGCAAATCTACAATGCCATGAAATTATCCTCGGAATGCCATGGTTAAGACAACACCATCCCACATTGAACTGGGAAAAAGGAAAAGTTATCTTTAACAGCAAACGATGTACGACATGGTGTCTCAACAGTTCGTCAGTGGTATAGGCAACTCCTGAAGAAGAAGCAATCAAAAACAACCTGGATGCGAAGTTCAGACAAGTACTACCAAGAAAGGATCAGAAGATCAAAGTTCAAAGACTAAGCCACGAGGCAAAGATACCCACCAGAGGGTCCAGAAAAGCAGCAGGGTATGACCTGTACACCAACGAAGAAGTCAAGATGCCAGCCAATAGGCAGGTAATTGTCCCAACTGGAATAGCCATAGAGTTATCTCAAGGCACCTATGGGCGTATAGCACAACGCAGCGGTCTCGCAGTCAAATACAGACTTACTACCAACACAGGAGTAATAGACACCGACTATACTGGTGAATTAAAGGTTGTCATGGTCAACCAGAATGAGAAAGAATATAAGGTGGAAAAAGGCGAGAAAGTCACACAACTGATAATCCAGAACATTAATGAACAAGAACTCCAAGAAGTGGAAAGCCTGACTAAGACCAAGAGGGGCGCCAAAGGGTTCGGGAGTACGGACCAAGAAAATAGGATCAAGGAAGCTCAACCACGGAAGATCAAGATCAACAGAATATCAGCAAGAGCTTTCGGAAAGTTCTACCACGAGGGAGAAACGGCTGGAATCCTTAAATGGGATTACCAAGAGGCAGGAACCAGCCTAGCCAAGATTAATATTAGCACCCCACTCATCATAAGAAATCAACCACAAGCAAAAGATGAACAGTTAGATAAGCTGGTGTCACGGCCACCCGGCTATGGAGACGGAACGTACTGGGGTTTTTGGTTACATATATTGGTTGGGGTTTTTTTGGTTGCATAGTTGGATTTCCTTTGTATAAGTTATTGGAATGCGTTGCCGCATGACGGAAGATGGCGGAACTCGACGGAAGGGTCGCGGCTGCGCGTGACGCCAAGAACATTCTTTTGTATTACTGATCATGGAGGATTTTCTTAGTATATAAAGGAGTGTGCCCCATTATATTTTACTTTCTTTACGCAATCTGGTAATCTCCTTCGGACAC